GCTCTTTCCTCCTAGAACTGTTTACCATGTCTACAGTTGAACATGCAGACCTCAGGTTGGCCTCTTAAGTCATCTCTGGACTCATTGATGACTTCCCTATTTACCAGAAAACTGTGATTCTTGTATCAAGAGACTGCAGCTGCTGACAATGATAGAACAGATGAACCACAGAAACAAAGGATATACAGGCCCTTTACCACTACAGGCATAGTGGTTTTGGGATGACTTGGCTGATCTTGATGCTGCGACTGAGACATGAAGCAGCAAGAGGAGGATTACTAAGGTCCGATCCTGCCAGTGTTTTTTGACACTTATACCAGATCTGCTATTCAATTTTAACTCATCACTGGATTCCATCTTAAAATAGCATTATACCTACTTTTTTCTGAAAGCATTTTGTTTTTATCCTATGAAGGAGAAATATATTTGTGATTTATCGAGGGTAGGAAAGAATCTATTTACAGAAGAAACAGGTGAAAGTAATGATAGAAGTAATCAAAACATAGAAATCAGCATTTACTTGTTAGCAGAAAGTATAGAACTAGACTATGCAAAACAGAAGTCACCTTACCAGCTTGCATATGGCACAAAATCATTACCTGGTGCTGGAGAGCATATGATGCTTATTGCCATCACCAAAAGCATGTATGATTGGTTCGTGGTTTTTCATCACAATTTCCTTTTAGAACTAATGTAAATAGAAACACTGCAGATGAGTACATGGTTGCCAAGTATATATCAGATAAATATCCATTCATACATAAAAACTGTTCAGAAAATTATTTCTTTTTCAAAAGTAGAAGCCCATCCTACTTTTGAATGGAATTTTCCTCAGTTTTTTCCTCTTATTATTGGTCAAAGGTCAAATGAACACTTCCATTACAAGACAACAAATCTCAAAAAGATTGATTTTTATTTTAAAAGCTAATCTTAAAAATGATCCTCAGGATAGTTTAGGCTGAAATGAAATTAGGATACAACACTTAAGGCTCTCATGAATGAACATGATTGTAAATGTCTGGATATAAATTAAAGGACTAACAACTTCAGTCTACATTGCTTATCCTGCAACTAGGCAAGAGAAAAAAAGGAAACCTGAGTAATAATGCAAGAGTATCTCTAATTTGTTTGAAAAATATAATCAAGTTTCAAAATATATTGAAAATAGATTATGCAGTAGTGAATTCTGTTTATGAATGATCTCCAAAACGTAGCAAGAGATAAAACAAACAAAGTGGAAATGTCAATAGGCTAAGAATGAAAGAACTCAGGTGATGGTAATAGATAAATAGAGCCTTTCACATCCAGACAGCAAGTTTGTATCCAGCTTATGTTGTTAATGATCTGTCTGAAATAAGCTGGCAGTTCTTAGGAAACAAGTGAATGAAAATTGCTTCTGTAATTGCTCCATTACTGTTGCTGACTCTGTAGAGAGGATGGTGTATACCTTGCATGTGGTTTCCCTACACCAGGATTGAGCAATTTGGACCTGCAGTGAGTAAGTTGGCATAGACACAATATATTAACTACCATATAGCAGAATTGTGGTATCTAAAGTGGGAATCGTGTGACACTTAGGCAATTAAGTCAGTCCAAAATTATGATCCTCAGCTGCCTGTTAACCTAGGAAGCAGTTCAGTTTGCCACCTCAGTGCTTGCCAGTACACAGACTAATAAGATTGCATTCCTCACAAAATGCAGTACCTGTTAAGGAAACAGCCTGGTGGGTAGCGCACTCATCCATGATGGTGAAGGTTTATTTCCCTCTTTTGAATTTTACTTTTTATTTTATGTGATACAGTCCCTGGATAAAATGGAGGAGCAAGCCAGAGACCAGGAACTGCACTCCAGATTTTCCCACTCCTAGCTTGGTACCCTCACTGAGATGGATGCTCTTGTGCTGTCTTTCTGGCTTATAGGATTTTGAATTATTTTCTTTACAGTAGCAGAGGATACTACATACACACATAATGAGACTAGCTAATTCCCCGGCAAATAAATCATTCTTCTGGGAGTTGGGAAAAATGGATTGGAGTTCTTTCAGATAAAAGAACCCATGCCTCCAGTTTTCCCGATGAATGCTCTAACCACTAGACTTTTATACAAAAGGCACAGGCACCACTTTTCCATCCTAGTGAATCCTGTTCAGTTTTTTGAAAGAAAGATCATAGATACTTATCTTCAGAGGAGAATTGCAACCAGTGGATTCTACTGGGGTGCAGGCACCACCCTACAACCCTGAAAAGTGGAATCTAAGACTTGAGTTTGTCTTCAACTTTCCTGTTAGTTAGCTAGGAGTCTCTCTGCTGATCCTTTCCTTTCCTGATACTGCTACCGAGAACGTCATTCTGAACCCACCCCCTGCCCATATTCAATGTAGGGAACATACTGGGTTCTGGATTCCACTCCAGAAGCCTGGTTCTGTGGTGTCTAAGACCTTTATTGGATTTTGCTCTATAAATCACTCCAGAATAAGATAATCCAGCAGCATTATTTACAGAAAAGCATGAAAGGACATTTAAAAAACCAACGTAAAAACTTGTAGTGCAAAGTCATTTTATTGATTGTACAAATTGCATCGTTCAACAGTCCTAGGCTTTCTATCAATAAGTCAGTGATGCATGCCTCTTCACTTTCACATCTAATGAATTTTTGAGTAAAAGAACAAAGACTTGGGTAAGTCTGCCTTGCCTAAGACAGAAGACAAACAAAGAAAAAAGCACATGTACAACAAGAAATGAGCTGGAATCAACCAAAGGTTTTAAAGTGGACAGCTTAATGGAAAACAGTAATTTTCAAGAGCTCAATAGAGCTCTTGGAAAAACAATACAGAAGCCAGAGAGATTCAATCTTCTTTTTAGTCAGAAGGGTAGAAAAGCCCTGTAGAAATGTAATGCAATTACTAGATCAATTGTGCTTTACTTTAGAAAAAGGAAAAAATATTGTGGTATTGGGTGAAAATAATACTTCAAAAAACACTACTAGCATGTTTTGTAAATGGCTTTAAAGCTGTATTTGTGTATTGGCTAGTGCTGTTCTGAGTATATGACAGTCTTAGTATTTACAACAGGGACTAGCAACAGGAAAGTGCTCTGAAATATTTCAGTGTCTTTTTGTACCACCAGTAACTGTCATCAATGCAATTGCATTGCTGTTGTTTTTGGATCCAAATGGCTAGGACACATTCTTAGGCTCTGATCCTAGAATAAGATATTCTGGGGTCCACCTATACTCAATGCATTGTAGAAATGAGGCTTAGAATGATAAGCATTTCAAGGTAGGACCCATATCCTTGTACATTTGTAGGGCAGCTACTTTAAAGGGTAGATGAAGGCCACTATCTTGATTGGAAGATCTACACTATATCTAGGCACTACAATTATGGCTGCTTCTTTCAGCTGCAAGTTATCTCCTACACTCATCTTCCAAGTATGCAATCTAAAGCCCCAGTCCTGAAAAGACTCACACATGTTGGTCAGCAGGGCTGGCCATATGTCTAAAATGAAATGTGTGAACAAGTATTTGCAAGATCAGCAGCAAAATCTCCCTAAGCGGGGCCTGCAACATAGTGGACAGGGTACTGGAGTGGGAGGCAGGAATACCTAGTTTTATCAGAATCTATACCACTCAGTGTGCCTTAATAAAATCTCTTGGACTGAAATTTTGAAAAGCAGCCCCTGATTAGCTCTAATTGACAGAAGTACTGAGCACCAACATCTGCTAGAGTCAATGGGAACTTTTCCTCTTGAAAAATGGTTGTGGATAGTTGAAGTTAGGTATACAAAAGTTAGAACCTTTCCTAACTTTTGGAAAGATTAACTCCAAATGCCCTGACTCTTATTTTCCATCTATAAAGTGGTACTAGTTGAAAAACAATAGATTAAAAGTTTGGAACATATGTTAATTATCATTAGAATGAACCAGGCTTGTCATGAAAATGAATCAGACATACAAAAAAAAAATAAAGCCCTTTAAAATCTCTCTTAAAAAGAAGGCAAAGTCAGCATTTGACACTTCCTGAGAACCAAATGTGTCCATTCCTAACTACATAAAACCTTGATAAAAAATTCTGGGCACCCTCCTTCTTTCACTTTCTGTACCTTAGTTACAACTCAAGTAGCATCCTTACCAAAATGACATCCCAGCTATACAGCTGGTCCAATAAAAGATATCATCATAAGAATACTTGCATCTCTATCACCAGAATTTCCTTCATACTTTATTTAGGCACCAGAGCTGATATTAAATAGAATTTTCATTTTAGAGTTCCAAAGCTTGTTGTTACTGTTATTTCATGTCTTTTAGCTGAATTAAAATGTTATTTTAAGGTATTTTCATATAATATTGGTAATTCACCTTACCAGCCCTTTCTGTAATTTAAAAGAGGCTTAGGAGTAAGCAGGCCTCACTATTTAATTTTATTTTGTTACAATCTAAGCTCTTCATTAGGCATCAGCTGCTGTGCTGTGATAACCAGTGCTTCCTTTTCTCCCATCAATTGGAAAACATAGATGACCAATTAATTGTAATAAGGAAGTCAATATTTTGACAGCATTTCATGTCCTGCAAAAGGCAGATAGAATCTATTAACAAATTCTGTTAATTAACAAGGGACAGACAAATCTCCTGACTTAGTAATTGTTTAAAAGCTAAATATTTGTTCCAGGACAAGTGAGTTTATTTGATGAGTTAGTTAAAACACATGATTGGGTATCTGTGAACAGATACAATAAGATACTAAGCAGCCAGCTTGCTTTTGTGGAGTAAAATCAGAATTTGCTTTAGAGAGACAGGAATAGTTTAGATAACGTAGAGGGCATTTGTTTATTTGTTTTGAATTTTTTTTTTACTGTTTGCTGGGGTTGTCTACATTGCAGAAACTGATGCTAATTAAATCTAGCCAAGTACTAATATTGTATTAAGACAGAAGCTAGAAAGAGTTGGTAATGAATGAGAACTAAAATGAGTTATCTTACCTATGTATTAACCTTTCTGAAAGGGAAAGAAGTGATTGTTGCAAATGCAGTCATAGCCATCTTGACAATTGGTGGGCAGCAACTCTTCTCCTTTTTTACATTTAGCTGCCCCTGTCATGTTGGGCAGAATCTCATTTATGGTTTAGCTTTCCTAGGAGTCCCTGCACTGATTCTTCTGATTGTTGGATATGCGTTGAATAATCAGACTTGGAGGCTAGTTACAGGCAAACGCTCTTCCTATCAAGAACTGAGTGCACGTAACAGCTTATTGCAATGCAAGCTTATCTGTCTTGTCCTCTGTAATGTCACGGGGAGAGCACTAGTTGCTCCAGTAACATGGCTAGCGGTCACCCTGCTGAATGGGTCCTATTATGTTTGTGCAATGAGTGAGTTTGTCTCAGTGAATCATTACAAAGCTTTCATCAATATCACTACTAAGGAACACAAGAAGATCCTGGCTGCCTTTCCATGTAGCCACTTAGTTCCTCCAGAGCTGAGCCGGGCAAAAGATGAAGCGATTCTTCTTCTTAAGTACCAGTCGCAGGTGAGCAACCAACATTCTTTTGTCATTGAAACTGTCATGTACAACTATAATGGTGCAGATTAAATTTTATTTAATAGATGAAATACTAGGAAAAAATATACTAATTGAATTTACAGTTAGGTTTTTTAATGTATGTGGATGTCTACTTCCTTGTGACAGAACAAAGCATTTATTGTATGAATTGATCTGTTTTGTAGGCCTTACTTGCTTATGAGCAGTCTCAAAATATGAGCTAGATAGAATGTTTGAATCTCATAGTGCCCTTTGGCATGTAAAGCACTTGGATACCATTTCTGATGCAGAACATTATCATTCCCTGCCCTGCACCATTTCCCCTCTCTCTGTATCTCCATTTTCTTATCTGCAAAATGGGGATGATGGCTACCCAACTTATGGGGAATAATGTAAGGTTCAGTGCTTGCAAAGGACAATTGAGATGGTCAAAACAAAGATAGCATGGTGCATATTAGCAACAAGACTTTTAAAGATGTTATTCTTATAAATACGTTGGCACCATCTTAAATATGAGAACTTTTGATAATGCTCTGTCATGCTTGATGGGTGTTCTGTCACAGTTCTCCACAGTCTTAAAATTTTCATTTGATGCGGAAGAAAAAGTAGAACTGCTTGAAAAACAGGGAGGATGTTCTAAATCCTCTGTTCTTTATTGGAACCCTATAGAAAAATGGTTACAAAATTGTTTCTCTGATCCTATCATTCACAACTTTATAAGGCTATTTGTTAAGCAAGCTTCTTACTGAAGGCTAGATTCAGTCCTGCGAGGTGCTGATATCCAGCAAAACACCATAGTAAGTGTGTGGTTTAAGTAGGTGCAGGATTTTATTTGCTTCAGTGGGACTATACACATGCTTAATGCTTTATTGGATTGAGTTTGCATCCTTTGCATGTTCCAGGACCAAGCCCTGGTGGGAGAAACATGACTGAAAAACTGAGTTGGCTACTCTGAGAAAAATGAAACCGACTTGAATAATTACTGTGTCATTACACATACATCATAAACAATGCAGATCCAGTATTTTTCCCCCCGTCTTTCTATCACTGTTTAGTATAATGTGTATAGATTCCACTCTAGGGACCAGGGGTTTAGGTTGTAGCCGTGTTGGTCTAAGAATATAGGCAGACAAGGTTCCTTGGGTGAATTTGATATCTTTTATTAGACCAACCCAAATGGTTGGAGAATAGTTATTAAGCAAGCTTTCGGGTTCAAAAACCCTTCGTCAGGCTCAGGAAGCTGCAGCAGTTGGTGTGTGCTCTTCCTGGATGGAATGAAAAGTAAAGAAGCCAGGGGCTGGGCTGGGCGGGGGAGTCAGTTGCCAGGCAGATTATAATGTATCAAAAATCCAATGTCTATGTTTAGTCCCTGATCTCTAGTATCCAGCAGGATGATGAAATGGAGCTCATAGGCTCGTCTCTGGGATGTGTTGTGTAAATTTCCCTTGAGGATCAGGACTGAGAGATTGGAGAGAGAGTGGCCATCCTGTGAGAAATGTGCCCCCACCGGTAATTGGGTGTTTCTGTCTTTGATGGATTTCCGGTGTGCATTCATTCTGGTGCGCAGTTGTTGTCTGGTCTCTCCTACATATCTTCCATCAGGGCATTTGGTGCATTGGATGAGGTATACTACATTCCTGGAGGTGCAGCTGTAAGATCCTGGGATGGTGATGGCTCTGTTGTGGGGTGTAGTAATAGTGGGGGTGGTGGAGATGTGGGGGCAGGTTTTGCATTTCTTGTCATGGCACGGTCTGGATCCTTTTGGTGTGTTCTGGGCTTGAGGAAGTTTGCTTCTGGTGATGAGGTTGGCGAGGTTCGGTGCTTGTCTGAAGGCTAGGATGGGTGGCTCTGGGAAGATCTTTTTAAGAATAGGGTCTTTTTCTAATATGGGTTGCAATTTTTTGAGGATTTTCCGTACAGGTTCAAGGGATGGGTGATAGGTCATAACCAGCGGTGTGCGATTTGTGGGTGTTTTTCTTCTGTACTGCAGCAGTTCTTCACGTGGTATCCAGGTGGCTCTTTCAAACGTGCGATCTACCTCTCTGGAGGAGTGTCCTTGCTGGGTGAAAGCCTTTTTAAGATTGGTGAGGTGGCAATCCCGGGTGTTCTCTTCAGTACAGATGCAGTGGTATCTGAGGGCTTGGCTGTATATCACTGCTTTTTTGGTGTGTTTCGGGTGATTGCTGGTTCTGTGCAGATATGTATGTTGGTCTGTGGGTTTCTTGTATACTGTGGTCTGTATTTTACCCTTCTGGATACTGATCCTTGTGTCTAAAAAGGGGATGTTGGTGTTGGAGTATTCTAAAGAAAGTCGGATGGAGGGATGGTGACTGTTGAATTTCTGGTGGAACTCAAGTAGAGATTCCAGGTTCTCACTCCAAATGATGAAGATGTCATCGATATATCGTAAGTACAGCAAGGGTTTGATGGTGCAGTTCTTGAGGAAGTCTTCTTCCAGGTGGCTCATAAAAAGGTTGGCATACTGTGGGGCCATTTTAGTGCCCATAGCTGTTCCCATCATCTGGAGGAAGTGTTGATTATTAAAAGTGAAATTGTTGTGTGTGAGGATGAAGTGTATAAGCTCAGTGATATCTTTGGGTCTGTATTCTGGGTTGTAATCTTGTTCCTGTAGATATGTAAGGCAGGCATGGATGCCATCCTGGTGTGGGATGTTGGTGTATAGGCTGGTAACGTCCATGGTGGCTAGGAGTGTGTTCCTGGGAAGGTGGTCTATGTTTTTAAGTTTCCGTAGCAAGTCTGTGGTGTCTTGGACAAAACTTGCTCTGTGGGTGACAAGCGGTTTTAGGATGGATTCAACAAAACCTGATATTTCCTCAGTTAGGGTCCCATGGTTGGATATGATAGGTCTGCCAGGGTTCCCTTGTTTGTGGATTTTAGGGAGCATGTAAAAAGTCCCTGGGTTAGGTAGCGGGGGGATCAAGGTCTGTAGTTTTTCTTGTAATCTTGGTGGAAATGATTTGATGGTATTGTTGAGTTTTTTGGTGAAAAGGGGAGTAGGATCTTCTTGTAGTTCTTTGTAGTAGGTGGTGTCAGAGAGCTGTCTGTTGGCTTCCTTTATGTAATCCTCACGGTTTAGGATGACTATGGCTCCTCCTTTATCTGCTGGTTTTATTACTATTTGGTGGTTAGATCTTAGAGATTCTATGGCCTTTTTCTCTGGTAGAGAGAGGTTGTTATGAGTCAGAGGTCAGAGTATGTAGTGTTTCTTTCAATGTCCTTCAGGGATCTGAATATGTCTGAATGGATCTGGCATACTGTATAGCTTGGCAGTACTGGTAGAAATTTAAGTTTGCAAAGGGTCTGTGCTAAAATATACAGTATGCAGTTTTTATGCCAGTGATGATTATAATATGCATAGTCCTTATTTTCACGTCTGGGGAGCTTGTTCTTGGAGTAATTTGTTCCATTTCTTCTTTTTATGTAGGATGAATGCTGTAGAAAGTTTTTCGTAGTCTCTTTGTATCCGCTGTATATTGTCAGGGAACATGCATGGATTTCTATCTTTTAGGTTGTTGTAGTGTATGACGATTTCCTTCCTGAGTTGGTCTCTTTTGGAGTAGAGTAGGTGAAGTAGATGATTTCTAATTTTCTCTGAAGTTCTTCTGCATAGCTGTGCAGCATATTTGGAGTTGTGTGTAGTAGTCAGGGGATTGTAGATGTTTAGTCCTCGGGGAATGAAGTTGTGTTTCTTGCAAAGGCTTAGAAAATATATGTCGCTGTTGAGTCCGGCCTCTTTCTTTTTCATGTTGTACAGTTTCCATTTCAGACGGCTGAATTCGATATCTTCCATGTTGCAGGGGTTTAGGTTGTAGCCGTGTTGGTCTAAGGATATAGGCAGACAAGGTTCCTTGGGTGAATTTGATATCTTTTATTAGACCAACCCAAATGGTTGGAGAATAGTTATTAAGCAAGCTTTCGCTTTAGTCGAGTGTTGAAGCATCCACATCTTTTGGATCTAGCCCTTATCTAACAGAATGTGTCCCTGAGTAATTTTAGCTCCAGGAAATCCCCATTCAGAGTCAAGGGGTTAGTAAGACACCCTTGCTTCACTAGTTACTATCAAACTTCTCTTTCTCAGGTGGCTGGCTGGTTCCTGATTGCAGGGGTAGCCATTACTGTCTTCCTGTCCTATTGTCTGGCAAGATGTCTCTCTCCACTCAGCTTCTTGCACCTCAAGTACTGGGCTAGTTACGTCCGTAATGAGCAAAAACTCTTTGAAGAAGCAGCAGACCTGCACTCAAGGCTCTATGCCACACAACACATCAAGAAGTTCTTTGGTTTGGTCCCAGGGAGCAAGGATTTGAGGGAAATCCGTATCCCTTCCTGTAAAGACTGGCGATCCATTTCAGGTGTTGCTGTCCTAAGAATTGTAGATGAAGAACATTATGACTACAGCCTCCTTCACGACTGGGCAGTCAACAGCTCCACAAATGGAAAATATTTTAAGATTGAAGAATCTAGCTCTAAGAACTCTGAGCCTCCACCATCAACTTAAAGAAAATATTAATGTCTTTTTAATTTTACATGAACTCCAGGTCATCTCAAAGCAGGGGAGTTCCTAGTTTCCTCATCTTGCTCTTTACAGTAGCACATGCAGGTGCATTCACTGTTGAATCTTGACTACATGGTCTGCTTTTAAGAGTGCTCTTTCATATACTTGCCCTCTTGAGGACACCCTCGTGATGAGGCATGATACTATACACTTGAGATTTGAAAGGCTTCGGTGATCTCACTCGATACTGTAAAAGAAGCCAAGGGCAGTGGAAAATGCAAACTGAAAAGCAGTATATTCCACCACTTTCTCACTATTTCTTTTTTTAAATGTGTTTACTTTTAATCCTGATCTATCATCGTACTAGTGATGACTAACTAAACAGGATCCATCTCTTCTCCTTCCTCCCATAAAAAAAGGAGAGAGATAGCGAACTGTCCTATACCAGTGACTCAAAATGGCAAATATTCTTTCCTCATCTACATTGCATGTCATTCATAAAATACAACACAATGTTAAGTACAAGCTTAAGTGTATAATAATGTGCAGCTATGGATATTGTTACTGGAGACTTTTACAGAAAGCTTGTTGGTCACAGACTGAAATCTTATACTACTGACTAAAGACTTTTTCATTTATACTAAATGGAGACTGCTAAAACTGGACTGAATAGGAGAGGGGGCCATATACTTTACTAACCCACTGCATTAACACTTTACATCTGAATTAAAGTGTTGTCTCTGATCAAAAATGAATAGTTCAGCTTTATCCTTTTATGCACACTTCTATGCTTCTCACTTCCACATGTGTTAACTCACTGAATAATGAAATAAGGAGAAACTTTTCCTAAATACTGTATTTTATGTATGTTCCTCTCTTCCCCCTTTCTGTGACAGTTGGTTTTGTGTTGTTTCCCCAGTGGTTTTGTACTAATAAAAACAAAAAAGGGACTGATTACTTGAAATTTGTCTTTCATGTCATAACATTTACTCTTACTGGATGCAATGAAAGAAGGATGCTACTTGTTGATGCACAGAACTTGTTATAGATGGGGTAGTTTAATGTGTAGTAAGCTTTGTTATGAATTGTTCACCAACCACTTTGTATTAACTTATCTGTAAATTCTTATCTTGAAGGACTAGTCCCTTTTGAAAGATAGCTTGCTCTTGACACTTGACACATACCAGAAGTAGAACTGAGGGAGGACAGCGGTGACCTGCACAGCAGGCCTTGGTGCTGACTTGGTGGAGGAGGATTGCAAAAATAGCTGTTGGTATCATTGGTGCTTCACAACCAGTGGCATCCTGTGCACTGCTACTGCTTAGGGTGAGGAATTAGTGCAGCATTGGTAAGTAAGAGACATGCTTTAAGAGGAAAGTGGAGCATGCCTGGTTGTGGGGGAGACTTGTTTGCTTTTATTCTGTAAGTAACCAAAAGGAGGTGGCTGTGCAGTAAGATTTTGTGCATCAAATGTAATGAAAAAGAAAGCAGCACTTTCAAGATAACACTTTTTTCAAATCTGGATGAAGAGGTGTGTTTCTTTTAGTTTTATTTTTTCCATCTCCAAGAATTTAGTAGTATAAATGCATGTGTCAATTTCCGTGAATTTGCGAATCACTGTCCCACACTATATTAGGAAAAGTTACCTTGACCAATCTAGAAGAGACTTGTTTAAATTTTGTTTAACTTTTAAAGTGCAATTCTTTGTTTTTCCATTTTAAATGAGCTTGGACAATAAAAGCTGATGGGTTTCAACTTCATTTCTCCCATGCATTTTATTTTCAAATGATAAACTTAAGTACTTAAAAGAAAGCTTTGGATGTGATGGTTTTAATTATATATATATATATATAAAATTTTAAATTCATGATTCTTGCATCTTAAAATTTGATGTTTATATACCCTAAATCAAACTGCCTCCCTGAAAGCACTCTTCCCTCCTAAACATAAAGTAAAAACCTTTTTGAAGATTTGCTTTCAATGCAACTTGATATTTCTGGAATTGGGAATTTGCTTATAAATAATAATGACTACTATATAAAGGATATTGTGTAACTTGTGATGTGAAACCTAGAGGCTTGTATCTCAAGACAGCATGCCATAGCTAGCAAAAAAAGAAATTAGCTGGTTTGAAATATTGTAGTTTGTCTCTCTAAGTATATTAAGACTAGCACAGAATGCGGCACAGCTTTCAAAAGAAATTGTGACTATAGGAAATCAATAAGTTGGCACTGAGTGAAATAACCATGTTGTCTGAACCCTGAGTCATCTCCTCCAAAATCAATTTATGCTTCTAGCTTGCTCACTTTGGAGCTCAAATAGTCCATTTTACTTCTATTCTAAAAGCAGCTATTGCTAATGGCTGGTAAAACAGGCAGAGGTAGCTGTGCTGACCCTAATCCTAGCAAAATGGCTTATTCTAAAACCATTCTAGGTATACTATCTCATCTCTGACTTGTTCCCACAATTCTAAAATTTTAATCGTGGTTTGCCTTAAACCAGGTAATTCACAGTTGATGCTCTATATTTTGGTCTTGGCTCAGCTCATCACAGACATCAATTCATCTCCCAGGGCTAGTCTGTTTTGTGTGTGGCAAATCCTCTGCTCGGGTCGTCCCACCCCCCTTTTCCTCCCTGAAGAGCTCTGGCTCAGCAATTGATAGGAGCTGCTATCTGGTAATAAGACCCCTGCCCACTCCAAATCATGCATTATTTTGGGTAATCAGCTGTGAAACCTGTTTCCCCAAAATACTGCTTTTTAAGGAAAATATAGTATGTTCAATTGGAATGAATAAAAAGCAATCCCCAGATCACACAATGTTTTGGTGAAATGCCTATTCATGATGTTCCTAATGATGTTCACGACAACAGAGAGGGTAGTCCTTTTTGTATTTAAAAGTAGTTTCATGACGGTGCTTCATTTTAAATAATTATCCATTCTCATGGGGTGGGAGTGTAAATGATTAACTGAATCTGAATACTGCCTTATTTTGGACCAATTTAAAGGTGAGAGCCTATTTTGCGTGCTGTGGGGAAAAGTGTTCTAGGGTGGCTCTGAGACTGGCATTCAGATTCCTGTAACATTTTGTGTGATAGTTCAATATTTTCCTCCCTTCCTCTTCCCTTAATTGCAGCCTTGCCTGGGCAAAACATCAGCTGATAAAGGATAAGATTTGCTGTTTTTACAAACACTGGAGAGTAAACCTAGGGAGGAGGAAGAATTATTTAAGAGGAAATTCTAGCACAAGGACAACTAAGTATAACCTGGCTGTAGATACATTTTAAATTGAAAGATTGTGGAGGGTTTTTTTTGGTTTGTGTTTTCTTTTTGCCTTCCAACCATCAGAATTTGACACTGGATTTATGACCCAGATACCTTGTTCCAGGCAGACCCAAACCTTCAGACTGACCATGACCTCTCCATTTGATAATAGGTAAATTTTATTGATACAAAGTGATAGCAGGTAAGAATAATACAAGCAATTCTATATCTACCAGTCCTAGGGCTGCGAGAGTCACGGTATGTCTGGCCAGGACATGAGCTTCACTCAGAGGTTCTCTCTTGAATGTCAGATGTCAGCAGTCAGGAACTGAGCCCCTCTTCTCCCCTCTCCTGCTCCCCAGTGGGGTGGATGACAGGCTGGCGGTATGCCCTCTGTCCACAGTGCCTTAGGTTCCTCTCTCGGGGACCCTTTATGGCTCTGAAATCCCTTTTGTATTCTTTCTCCATCCTGATGATTCTTCATCCATGGACATTGTTGATTGGTCTTTCTGTAGTTGTCATACTGTCCACTTCTCTTCTGTCAGCATATTCCTTTTATTTCAGAAGCCCATCGCATACACGCATCCTAATTTGGGCTTTCCTGGTCATCTCCTAATATGGTCTGTTCTCAGAACCGGAGATCTCAAGGGCTCTGCGCCTGGGCACTGAGAGCTGGAGCCACCCTATCTCATGTTATGGAACAGCGTGGCACATGCCTACAGTTTCCCAGCCTGTGTGTCTATCCCTGTCTGCCTCAAAGACTTTGAAACTGTGAGACAACCAGGCTTTTAGAAATCAATTAACCCTTGGTGTTGCCTTGGACCATTATTCTAATGCATATCTACTTTACCTACAAGCCAATGCATATCTACTTTACTTAAAAAAACAAAACAAAAAAAACAACCCCCCCCCCCCCAAAATACCATTTTCTAGCCATCACAGAAGAGCAAAGTTCTGGAACAACCTCCTGACATGGTTATTTTGCCCCTAAACTCCTAACTAGTATGAAGATGGGACTTGTGTTTGTAGTTGCATGTGACTGGAAGGGACCTCTTAAATCTTCCTCACTGGGCATATCCCCAAATGCAGGGGCATATGTTTACCACGGCACAAATAATATAGATCTGTGCCTCTGCTTTGTTGCCCAGGGTATGCCCCTGCAAGCATGTTCCAGTGCATGCCAAATTATCCTGGTGCAGTAGGCTGGTTGGGGCCAGCAACTGTGCTGTCCCAGCAGCCTTACCTGGGGTCCTAGGGACCTGGGGTAGCACTGGTGCTGATCTGGTTGCATGGAGTCTTGCTAGCACCTAGAGCATGGCTCTGGATGGTCAGGCTCTGTTTCTAGTGGCAAGCCTTGCTGCTGCATGCACGGCGCTTCTTTTTTGCAGTATTTTTCTTGACAATCTCCTGGTGTCAAATTTTGGTGCTGTGCTGTAAATTAGCAGTGCAGCGAATGGTTGCACATACACCACGTACATTTTGCATTGTCTCGAATAGCTCTGAGGCACTGAAGACATCACATCCATGTTTGTCTGGATGTGCCCTTTGTGCCTTTAGGATAACTTCTAAAGAGGAGGTCCTATGACTGGGGTCTGATACCATCTTAGCCCCTATAAAGTTTTTGTTTGAAGAGTGTTAGCTCGAACGTGAAACTGCTGTCTGCCTGCTACCAAAGGCCTGTCCTAATGGCTGCTCTCTCTCCAGATAAAAGCATTGTTCAGCCACTGTGGTATGTATAAAGCAGTGAATCTCAGCCAGGGTGCTGTGGCATCTTAGGGTGCTGTAAGATCTTTTGAAAGATGCCTTAAGGTGTGAGACAATGAGCGTAAAAGCACAAGCTCAGGCTTATCCCTGCTCGATTTCCCCCACTGCCTGGGCCCTCCGCAAGGAGGTAAGCACTGTAATATATATGTGTTCATTTGTGAAACTGGATGGCACTCAACTCACAAGTTATGGAGGGGTGCCTTGAGTGCAAAAAGGTGAGAACTACTGATGTAGAGTTCAGGGGTGGTAGTGCTTGCTGCACCCTGTCTGAAATGCCTGGCTATCTTAAGTGGCTTCCCACTTTATTGACTGGTTTATGCAAGTCTCTTTAGATACCTAATTCTCCCCATACACTTGTAAGTGGAGTATCAATGCTTACTTTTAGAAGAGGTCCCAATAGGTAACAGGCTCCCTAGGGATTTATCATTGTAACACTGAGCACAGCAACACCTAAATACCTCCAAAAAACTAGTTGCTTGTTCTGTGCTTGGTAGATTGCCTCTGCAGCCTTAGAAATGGTTCCTAATTGAATTCTTTTTTAAATTAACTTAATTTTAAATTAAATTAAAATAAATTAAATTAAATTTTGAATAAAATTTGAAATTAACCTGAATCCTGCAAAGAAGTTTAAAGCTAACTTAAAACACTCAAGGGGAATCTTTACATGTGTTTTGGGATGTGGCACTGGGCGCTTTAATTAGCAAGAAGACTTCCTATTTATTTTAATTAAGAAAATGTGCCATAAATCTGTTTGGGAGCAGGGCCTCACACTCATGTTCTCATTCATGAGTTTGGTACATAGGTTTAAATTACTACGTGTGTGTATATAAGCACCAGTCAGAAACCTATGGACTCTAGTGGTAAAAAATATACATTGAGAAATGCAAAAAGCGGGCCTTACTATTACAACTTTCACCTGTAATTAAGCAACTTCCTCCACCCCACCAATACTATTGAAATTCTACTTAATGGAAGGCCTCAAATAATCCACTAATAAGAAAAATAAGACTTTTGTAATTGTACTGCTGCCTGAAGCTTGCAGATCTCTTCATAAGCCTCAGTTAAAGGGATACCAAATTGAAATAATTTATTTATTTTTGAAATTACTTTACAATTTTTCTCAAGTACATCTAGGATTTCTTAACTGAAGATTAGTAAGGAAACCTTCCTTTGTTTTGTGCCTTTGACAGTAATTTGTTTATTGTCATTTTCATTGTTTCCATGCTGTCCTCTTAAACAGTAATGGAAGAAGAAGAAAAATTAAAACTGAGGTAAGTGTAGTGGTTTGCCACAAAACTTTAGTGTGGGAAATATTGGCAGTAAGAGAGATGCAGTACTGCTTTTATTTTTAAATTGATGGTGTCCTTCTAAGTATCATTGCTTTGATGAAAGAACCAAGACTTATGTCAGCTGAAAGTTGAATAAGCCAAAGGAGAGAGAGGTGGTCTCCACATTTAAATATATATATATATATATTTTGTTTTTCTTTATGTGCACAATGGTATAAGAGAACATAGAGATTACATTGGCATATGAGGAACATGAAAAGTCTTGCAGAAAACTTGGAGGGCTGTATTGATATTTTGCTAGCTTTCTGCAATTATGTACCCCAGCATCACTCTCATATAGCCAACAAAAATGATTTTGAAAGCTTTCAGTTCCAATTATCTAATTGCTTTTAATAGTACAGGGCCATTTCTTACCTTAAGTTATTCTATGCAGAACATCAGTGTTGTCCATCCCACTCCCAATAATTTGTCCATATTCTCTAATAGTTCTTGTCAAAAGTTGCACCCTCTCATGCAGAATTAAATGCACTTCCTTCCATAGTGTTAATAGTAGAATCAGTTTGTGATAGAATTGAGTTTGATAAAAGTTTGGAAGTTGGCCTGGTAATGGTTTGTTTTGATTAAAAAATGGAGCCACTTTTAAGAAATTCTACATTGGGGTTTATGATGTAGAATTCATATATCTGCCAAACCAAATTACCAATGAATAAACAAGTGTTTGAGTTTTGCTATTTTATCAAACCTCGTTTGTATGTACAATTTTCTTCCTTCTTCCCTCTGCCCCTGCCTCCATCTTTGAATGAATTCATTAATTCCTGATTCAGGAATAATTATGGCATAACATTTATAATATTATGCTGCAAACATGTATTTTGTATATTTGCAGATATTATATTCTATATTTGACTTGTCAAGTGTATGTATGTTCACCACTACAATGACACAGACCTGTATATTGCAGAGGCTTGTCTTTTGACATCTGCATGACTCCAGACTTGTTTGCACCCACATTTGACAAGTAGTCTAACAAATACTCTGCTCCTTCATGTGGAATTGTCTGTAAAGGTTATCAATTTTAAACTATTTTAAAGATACATTGGTGTAGCCATTTTGCCTACTCAAATATTTTGTTTCTATAGGCAAATCGTATTAAGAGTTTTTAACATCATAGTGGGTGCGTCTACACATTCATTAATGCGCGCTAGTTACTTCACATTTAATTTAGTACTTCTATAATCAAGTACTAAATAAATATACAGTAATGAGAGTTACTGCACAGTAGCGGCAGCAAATGCTTTTTTAGTGATGCTACTGCAAAGTCTCCTAATAATACCATACAGTAGCATATTAGTATAGTTTGTGCTGCCATATGCTACTGCGCAGTATGTCTAAGAGAAACTAATTTAAAAAATACCAAGTACAATACTAAGTTTTGACACACTTTTTAATGCTGCTGTAGGGGATCACCTCTGCCTGATTTCTTAGTCATTGATGCCTGGGTGTTGAGAACATTTAATCCATCAAAAAACAATAGGATCTACACAATGATTATTTTAAGGCTTTTGAGGCTGGGTCTTTTCTGGCTGCCCTTCCGGGGAATCAAATAGGATGAAGCTGAGGGCAAGCAAAACCCAGGGGGCATCCAGGTTCTGGAAGCTGGCTCTGAGACCTTTATGGAACTGGGAGACTCCTCCCTAGCTTGCTCCTGCAGACATATGGCTGAGGGTAAACAAAACCTGGGGGCATCCGAACCCTAAACTTCTGGGCTTGGCCCTGCAATGCTTGCCAAAGGATTTGGAAACATCTGAAGTCCCAGGTGGAAGATGTTTGCTAGTACAGCCACATACAGTTCTTGAATGATTCATGAATTTGGAACTGATTTGGCTTGGAACACACACAATTTTTTTTTCCTTAAAGAAAAATGTCTCTGACCTAATGCCAACCCCCCAAATCTGTGATTAAAATGAAACACCACTGTAAATACCTATGTATTAGTGGTGTTTCTTCTTATCTATACCTATACAGTAGTGGTGTTTCATTCTAATCACGGGAAAATGTGGACGTGGAGTTACTTTCTTTTAAGCGAAAATTGGGCATTCAAGTTGGAGAAAACCAGGACCCCTGGCCATAAGGAAGTACTGACGGCAAACCCCGAAGTCGGTTAACCCTCCCTGAGGGTGACCTGGGCTCTGCATATGCAGCACCAATTGGCTGCCTCAAGAAGGACTGTACGTTTTGAACACTTTTACTACCAGTGATGCTACATCCTACAAGGGCTGAAAAGATCGTATAAATGCGGTAATTACCGCGCGCCTGGCAGCTCTGCTGGAAACAAGCCCCCAGCGGGCAGCCCGACAACTTACTGAGACCAAGACTGCAGCAGCGCCTGGAAGCTCGCTACGTCATCACGCCGCGCCTGCCCGGCCCAGAGCAGAGCCCCGGCTAATGTTACGTCATTATTCTGCGCCTGCCCGGCCTGGAGCCGAACCCCGGCCAACGGCTACGCCATCATCCCGCGCCTGGCCAGGGGGGGAGTGCCTTGTGCGCCTGCGCGCGCCGGGCATCCCACGCGCCCCCCGAGGGGGGCAGTTGGCGGAGACAGTTGCCCCGGCGGCGCGGCGCGGCGCGGCGCGAACGGTGGCCTGGGGAAAAGCTGATGGCGGGGGAGGGGGGAGCAGCCCCTCGCCCACCCTGTGGCCGGCGCCCCCCCCCGCCCGCCCCCCCCCCCCCCGGGGCCCGGGCCTGGCCTGGCCTGGCCCCCGCGTCCCGGCTGGGCGGGGAGAGAGTGGGGATGGACGGGAAGCGGGAGGGGAGCGTGCCCCGCGCGGACGTGGCCTCGTACAGCCGGAGCCAAGGAGGGTTGACGGGACCCCAGGAGGCTGCCGAGTGCCACCCCTGCCGCTAAGTCAGAGCGGGAGTCCACAGGGTGAGGCGGACTCAATGCAGCTACACCTGCCAGGGAAGGAACTGCTTTAGTCACCTTTTAGAAATCAATTAATTTTTTCAGAAAATCGTAGAAAATGAGGGTTGGAAGGGACCCCAGGTCATCTAGCCCAACCCCCTGCTGGAACCGGGACCAGCCCGGACTAGATCATCCCAGCAAGGTTTTGTCTAGCAGCATATTGAAAACTTCTGAGGATGGAGAGTGCACCACCTCTCTGGGGAACCTGCGACAGTCAGTGCTTTACTACCCTCCTGCTGAGGATGTTTTTTTTCCCTAATATTGGACCTAAATTTCCAATGCTGCAGACCATTGCTCCTTCTGTCACCTGCCATTGCTGAGAACTAGCTCAACAGTGGGCAAAATATGGCAGGTGGGTGGATCTGGCTCCAGGCCGCCATCCCCCTACTCTGCCCACCCTCAGGTGGCTGCTCATTGTGCCAGGTGAGTGGAAGGCAGCCGGGAGCTAGCGCCAAAGTCCCATGCGCTGGGTAAGAGCCGCTTGGCTGAAGCTGCCCCCTCTGTTCGGAGCGGTATGGCCAAGGCAGGAGCATCAGCCACAGCTAGAGGCAAGGGGAGCAGAACAGCCCTGCTGGCATGGGCCCTGATAAGTGCGCAGCTTCTGGTGGGGCTGTTCCTGTTGCGGCTACAGTTGGCTGAGTGCTGCTGAGCTCCCTCCACCTCCAGGTGACAGTGTGAGCCCAGTGTGAGCTGCAGTGTGGCTGCAGCTTTGCTGGGAACAGCCCCACCAGAAGCTATTGTGCAGGGAGCGGATCATGCCTGCCCCTCTCGAACACTGCTTCCCACCCACCAAGCCCCATACGGAGTTTTGGTGAGTTGTTGCATGTAGGGGTGGTGACCCAGGTCACCAAAGCTCCCTATGTGGCCCTCAGGCCCAAATAATTGATCATCCCTGTTCTAGCTCCATCCTTTTCTGAAACCACCTTTCAGAATACCTTTTTAGTATTAAATCCCCCCCTCCACAATCTTCTCTTCTTCAGACTGAATAAGCCCAGTTCCTTCAGTCTTTCCTCATAAGTCATGTCCCTCTGCCCTCTCACCATTTTTGTTGCCCTCTGCTGGACTCTCTTCAACTTGTCCACATCTGTTCTGTAGTGGGGGGTCCAAAATTGGACACACTACTTCAGGTGTGACCTGACCAGTCCTGAACAGAGGGGGAAAATTACTTCCCTCAATAATGCCATGCCATCGGGGCAGGGCAGGGGGCCGCATGTGCTTGGCCCAGGGAAATGAGTCAGAAGTGCCCAGTGTCACCTGGTCCAGGCTTCCTTCTCTATTTCTAGCCTGAGGTCCCTTCTATCTGTACAGGTAAAGACGTGGTGGAATTGAATGCATTGTGCTTCCTGCCGCGCTACACATGCACTGCAAGAGGTGCGATTGTGGGATCGTACGTTAGATCCAATCATGTCTTATTGCCAGTACAAGGGTGGGCAGATGCTTGCACCAGCAAGGAGCAAGTTCTGCAACTTGGAACCCACACAGTTGAGGGGCTTCCAGCCATGGGGGAGCCCAACACATCCCTGGGGCTGGGAGATGTAACTGCCACCATTTCCCAGCCTCAAGGGTGCATGAAACCTTTGAGCCCCAGGGATTACATCTGCCAGGGGTTTCACTCTGGGGTTTTAGGCTGGGTGTGGTATACCCCTGTGGCTGGGAGCCCTGTCTGCTCCTGGGGCCCCAGGCCATAGGGGAGACCCTGCTACACATGCAGATTAGAGTTTGATAGCAACCAACTGTACAGTTAGTACACACTTTTGTGTTCTAAGTTTATAGCTGGCTGGAGTTTTTAATCACGTGATACCTACTTTGCACATGTATCTTGTATTAGCTCAGTTTGTTTCAGTTGCAGCTCATTTGACTTTGGTCTTCAAGGCTTGTGTGTAAGTGGCTGGGTTGCATCTGTGTTGGTGCGAGGCATAGATGCAGCCTTGCACCAAGCTATAGATCTTTCATCCTTACCATTATGGGGGGATGTTTGTCAGGTCTTGGACCCTGGAGTGTTTCTGGGTAAAAAGAGACAAACTGGCTCAGTGGATATTTGAAGGTTTTGTTTGGTACCTGACATGGAGTTTACAGATGGACGAGCCCATTGCCCCACATGAGATCCCCGTGAATTATTTGAATTAGGGCATCATGTTGGAACAGTTGCATCTAACTGGATTTCATTGGTATTTAAGCCTGAGGTGTCAGTGGCTGGGATGTGCCTATGTTGGTACAAGTCATATCCTGGTGACAGTAGTGGTGGGCGCACCAAGGCGCGCGCACCTGGGTGGGTGGGTGGCTGGGTGGCTGGGTGTGGTATGAGGCTAAAAGCGGACGTTTCATGCAAGATGTCTCGGTCTGTAATTCACATGCATACTAGTCTGAGACAGCAAGTTGCACATAAATCTTAAATGGCAATTAAGTCAAATTAGCCACTAATGTTCCAAGGCAAAGTGTTAATAATTTGGATAATTCACAGGTCCTTAATGTGTGACAGTGGGCTTGTCAGTCTGTAAGTTTTGTGAGAGATGAGATGAACCAAGCCCATTGTCTGCTCTTAGCCAAAACAAATGGCTAGGGCTTGTGTCTCAGGATCCAGCAGTCTCAGGATCATCTTGTAGATGGTATAGACTTCTTACTGCATAGGAAGTTCCAGGTGTCTTGTCACTCTTCTTCAAACTTGCTGCGTGCCAAAGATTCTCCATCAGGGAGCTGGGACACCCTGGGGTGCTGCCAGATCCTTTGAAGAGTGTCAGGAGTTGTGGAGTAGTGTGTGTGCTGTCACCCATCCCATATAGACAACCCAGTGGGTAACTTTCTCTCTGCTTGCTTTAATCTTCCAAAATCTTGTTGTGGTTATTTTGGCTTGATGTTGGGGTATGCATTGATTATCAGTTAAGACAAGGTGCTGAGTCATTAAGTGTAATGATTCTGCCCAACACATCTTTGTGTTGCACCACCTTATTAGAGACACTACTGCCATCCACCCAAACCCATAAAAAGAGGACTATGAGAGTAAATATTCAGAGTCGATGAGAGAGAGAGAGATTCAGGATCTGAGCTCTGAATAACTGGCTGAAATTTGCCCCACCCATCCAACAAAGATTTTATATATATATATATATATATAAGGAGCTCAGTCTGTCTGTAACACTCTTTGTCAACTGCACATGCACTGTCAAGAGGGCGGTGATTGGCTACGCGGGCACGGGGCGAGGGAGGCAAGGGGGCGAGGTCATGGTGGCAGTGCCCCGTTCGCCACCGGGCCCTGATACCCCCTGTGCCTGTTGGGCTGGGGTTTCCAAAGCATGCATGCACCCTACAATTTTTATTACCAACAGCTGGCAGGGAGGGGGAGGCGGCAGGGAAGAAGGGAGGGTAGGGGGGGGGCCGAAAGCCCCACTGCTCAGGGGAGGAGAAAGAAGCAGGTGGGGGAGAGAGCCACCACGATGGAGGCTGGTGGAGAGAGTGTTTACATGGCTGCCTCCTCTGGCCCCCACTCACCCTTCCGAGCCAGCCATGCAAACACTCCTTTGAAATCCATCATTCTTGAGGGCAATTGGCTAATGTTGACTAAGAGTTGTAACAGAGACTTCCTTTGGCTATTACTTCCAGTTGTGGATTAAAGCTCATCTGAAATCACCTTGCAAAGAGCTGGCAGCACTAGGTTTGCAAATTGTGTGCCTCCTTGCCAGACTACACAATGTTGTCACAGAGTCTCCTTGTGTTACCTCTTCTCTACACGTGTCCCTTGTTCAGTACTTAGGTAGTAGGAAGGGCCTCGCTTTACCACCTCAAGCAATTTTAAGCCAGTTTATATATTAAATTATGTATATCACGCATGTTGGAATACAGTGTTCAAGGTAGAAATCACTTTGTTTTGGAAAGCACTTCTCACTCTTGGAGCTTTCTTAAAGTAGAAATCAACATCTATTTTTTCTTAGAACGATGCACAGCAATCCTACATAAAATTAAAACAAATATTTGCATTTAAGACAAGCTGGCAGCCTGATATACTTTTTACTTAAAAAAAAAAAAAAAAAAAAAAAAAAAATCTGCTTCACAGAGAATAACTTAATCATTAGACCTGCAATGTGTTTTTGCTGTCTTTTGGTGGACAGAAATTTTACATTAGAATGGTAATGTTTGTAACACTAGTATTAGAAAAGCACTCCAGATATTTAATGTATGGGCAACAGTGGGGGAAAAGACTGTGCGTTATATTAAGGGCTTCTTCAGCCCCTTTTACAGTTAGAAATGTAGTTCTAATGAATGAAGCAAAGTATGATAGAAGTAAAGTATTGATATGATTGTGAAGGGAAGGTGTCAGACTTAAGCTGTATCATTGACTTTTTTTTACAGTGTTATCAGAAAACCCAACGTGTTTCACTATAACTGTGACATCTGAAGCAGGAGAGAATGATGAAAGTAAGTGTATAATTTTTTAAAAATTACATACTTTGTTTCAAAGTACTCCCTCTTGTACCTGTCCACTGTTTTCTAAGGTATACCTCAAGGAGGGATGTGGACAACTTCACACTTCAGGAGGGATGTGGACAACTTCAGAAAGGTCCAGAGGACGGCCGCTCGCATGATCAGGGGTCAGCAGGGCAGACCCTACGAGGAGGGGCTACGAGACCTGAACCTGTTCAGCCTCCACAAGAGAAGGCTGACAGGGAGGGTCTGGTGGCTGTCTATAAACTGGCCAAGGGAGACCAGCAGGCAATGGGAAAGTCCCTGTTCCCCCGAGCACTACTGGGAGTAACAAGGAATAATGGTCATAAGTTGACTGAGAGTAGATTCAGGCTAGATATCAGGAAGCACTACTTCACAGTCAGGGCGGCTAGGATCTGGAACCAACTTCCAAGGGAAGTGGTGCTTGCTTCTACCATGGGGGTCTTCAAAAGGAGGCTAAATAGTCACCTTGCTGGGGTCGTTTGACCCCAGCATTCTTTCCTGCCATGGCAGGGGGTCGGACTTGATGATCTGCTCAGGTCCCTTCCAACCCTACAACTATGAAACTTTTGGGGCATATTTTGCAGTAATTTGTGAAAAATCATTATGTCCCTCTGACTTGGATATTGAGATTAAAAATGCAGTTGCTGACTTGCGAATATGGTTGTAGGCCAGTTATAAGGCCTAACTTTCAGAAATGCGAATACGATTGGTAGCATGGTATCAGAAATGAAAGCTGTTGTAGCAGCCTCAAAACAAATAAACTTGTACAGATAACTCAGACAGAATGAAAAGAGGGTGAGGGAGCTGGGAGAGTTTGCAATTTCTTTCTTTCTACATCTGTTAGTTGGGTGTTCTGACTCTTGGTATGTTCTGTTTGTTTAATTGGAGCAATTCCTTGGTGATTGGTATTTTAAGAGCATAACTTATAGTCCGTATCAGAAGCATAGGATTTTTTTCACTAGGGCAGGGCTGTCCAATTTATTGTGCCCAGGGCTAAGGACAGAAATTACATACAAACAGATATAAGTGATTGGAAAGTGATTCAAATCTGTAACACAACAAAAGTTCAGTGCACATAAGCTGCTTTCAAAATGGCCAGAACCGATTTAAGATAAATCTGGATGGGTGTAGTATCAGTCTTAACTGATTTCGATTAAATCAGTTTATTGAACTTCTGTGCCTGATCCCCTCCAGATTTAAGTTAACTCACAGTCCCCCACCATCCCAGGATGCTTTGTACCTCCCCCGCAAACTCCTCTGTGCAGGGTGGGCAGACGAGCCTTGGTGCAACGGATCTGCTCCAGCCCAGCAGGGAGCCATGCTCTAGCACCCCCCAGCTTCTGGCCTGGGCCACCGCAGGCATGTGGTTGCATTTCCAGTGTCAAAAGTAAATGTCTGTTTACTTGCTTATCCATTCACTCTATGCAGCTTAGATTAACCTGCAAAGATTGAATTGATTCAGCCTCAAGCTTTTTGTTTGTACTTAGCCCTGGAGACCAGATCTGGACCATGGGGCTTCTTGGATGACCTATCTCCAGTGACTGGGCAGTGGCTTACTGGCACAGCTCCAGAACCCATGGGATAAATGGACATAAGTAAAAACTTATTTACGGTTCGAGTGTCCAGAGTCTGGAACAGATTCCCCCAGAGATGGTACAATCACCTATTCTGGAAATCTTTAAAAAATATCTGGGTGCTCACCTAGCTCAAGTCAGCTGACACCAGCAGTCTTTCCTCCCCAAACGCAGGGAGGCTGGACTGATGATCTCGTGAGGTCCCTTCCAGCCCTTTACATCTATGAATCTTTGAATCTGCTTGCTCCCCTGCCCTTTTTCTGATTTGAGTTGCCAGCAGCAACAGCAAGCGTGGAGGAAGAAAAGCAGTGGCAGCATTTAGTTCCTGGGTTCCAGAGCTGTGCCAATAAGCCTCACAGGCTGCATTTTAAACTCTCGTAGGCTTGGACAGCCCTACTCTGAGGCATAATGCTGCTCTCACTAAAGACGAAAAGAGCAAGAGTAGGCCTTTAATCACTAAACAACAATCTGTGTAACATAATAACTTACTCCGACATAAATCCACACAACTCCAAAAAGCTTCTGAGTTTAATCAGCTGGGCACTGTTCAGACTCTTCATATTACAGGTTTGTAGTCACTTGGTACCTCACTATCATGCTGGTACTGACTAAGGTATTTGCATAGTAAACACTTGTATAAATAGGCTTTGTCACAGATTGGCACAAGTAATACTCTTGGTTTTCTATTGTGGTCAGCAGTTAGCTTCTAACCTTATATTTTATGTTGACCCACTTTTTAGCCTAGGCAAATCATTTTAGGGCCACATGCAAAAAATAAAAGGACTTGTATGCAAATGCTTGTGCACTTACCTTCAGGACATTTTGGAGCTAAAGACTCGGAGTATATGGACACCACCATCCTGAGTAAAGCATTTGAGACCTGGCATTTACTATATTGATTCAATTAAAAAGGAGGTTTTTCCCCGCTTAATATAGGGAGGAAAAGCTCTTTGTCTTGCAATCGAATATGAGGCAGCACAGGATAGGCAGCTGCTGCAGCTCCAGCCCCAACCCCAACTGCCTGCATCCCCTGCCATCTCTGTGCCCACTACCAAGCCTCCCTTGCAGCCTCGGGCCTCAGGTACCCCATTTCACCCATGCGCCACTTCCCTCCCTGCCTGCTATACTCTCCTTTACCTTTGCTGTTGTGCTAGCAGGCTCCATCTCTGCTGCAGCCTGGAGCATGACCCTGTAGCTACAGTGCCATGCTAGAGCTGTGCTCTGTGCCCTGGGCTGCAGCATGGGTGGAGCCTGCCAGTGGCAGATCAGAGGTAAGAAGGAAGTGGAAGGGCAGTTGGTGTTAGGGACAAAAATATAGGGAAGGCAGACATAAGGCTGTGGGGGGCAGAAGTAGCACAGAGTGGGGAATTGGAAGGAGGCAGGCACAAAACAGGTAAAGGGTGGGGACTGAGGCTGGGGAGGGCAGACACAAGGGGTGTAATTGGGAGGGGGACAGGTGGCAGGGGGCAAGCTCTATGCCTCCCCCCCACCCCACTTTCCCCCTTGCTGCCTCCTTCATTACCCTTTCACTGCATGCCCCGTTACTGCTTATTGCTTGTCCCCCCCACTGTGTGGGGGGTGGGGGGAGACGAGTTTAAGATGATCCTCCAATAATTAGATTCTATAGTTGGAAATGTATTCATATAATCTAATCTTAGGGGGGTGGGGGGGTTATCTTAAATTCAGGTAAATACAGTAATTTACCCTTCTCCTTGGGGTTTCCTTGTAGGTTAGCTCTAGATTGTGTGTGCTTGCTCTCCTCCCAGTGTCTCAACTTTTCTGGATTTGATTTGTTGGTTCTACATTTTATAGAGAGTATCTGCACCAGGCATCTACAAATTAAGTGTTGTGTTGTCCAGCTTTTAGATGCTATTGGATCTGTCCCCACATTATAATGCCCTCAGTTTTTAAAAAGTGGCTTTGCTTACACAATTTCAGTATTTCATTGCAGTTTTGCACAGACTGCTTACTGCTTCAGAAGTTCCTTGAAGATAAAAATGATAAAGTAACTTGGAATATTTTTAAAACAAGTATAAATAGCCAATACATGCAAAGTGTTATATGTGACATCTGACGCTTACTTTGGCATAAGTTAAGACTCCTACATTATAAAGTTCCATTATGTTATTAATTTTGGTATTTTAAATTATATTGTGGGTTAATGCACTAGATTTAAGCTTTAAAAATTAATACTGATGAAGTTTGAAGTAGTCTATGCTAAGATTGCCTCTTTCTTTTTATATACCCTAGCTGTCCAGACAACCCTTAAATTTACATACAGACAGAATTATCCAGATGAAACTCCACTTTATGAAATAGTCTCCCAAGATAATCTTGAAGATAATGATGTCACAGAGATATTAAAGCTACTAGAGCAACAGGTATGGAAATACAAGTATGTATAGACTCCTGTTGATGGCATTTCAGCATTCATTGGTTTGAGAGGCAAACCAAGGACACTAAGTTCTGACATTCACCACAACCAGAAAGTGTATATTTTATTTACTGTTGTAGGGGCTGACTGGCACTGAATCTGGAAAACCAGATTCAAGTTGCTAAGCGATTTAGAATTATATATATAAAGTGAACTCTTATGGCATTTTATTATCTATCTGTCTGTCTTGTTTAACATGGTCAACTTGATCAATATTTCATTGCTAGTTTCTTTCCTTATATACAGTCTAGATTACTTAGCAGCTTGAATTTTGTGTGTTTATGTATTTGTTTATATAGAGAAGTTTGCTCACTTTGTATCAAATAAAATACCATAAGCAAATAACATGCCATAAGAAGAGAGAGTTCAGTTACATAAAAATATATGTATATAAAAGCTTTAGAAACTGGCAGTGAAATGTTGATTTAGTTGATCATGTTAAATAAGAGATCTATATACCTACCTAACTGTAGGTATATACTACAGACCGCCAAACCAGAGGGAGGAGCTTGATCCAGAGTTCGCCTGAGAACTGGCAGAGGCCACACGATCACAGGACATGGTCGTCATGGCTGACTTCAATTATCCAGATATCTCTTGGGAGGAACACTCAGCCAAGTCGGATTGATCGCGTTCCTTCTTGACCTGCATTGAAGAGCTTTTCCTGACTCAGGAGGTGTACAAGCCAACCAGAGATGATGCTATTCTAGACTTGGTCCTGGCCAAGGGGGATGACCTGGTGACCAACATAAAAATAGGTATCCTGGGTGATAGTGCCCATAAAATCATCATGTTCACTGTCTGTCTCAGGGCAGACAAATTAGATAGCAGGACTGAAGTTTTGGGCTTCAAATTTGCAAATTTCAACAAACTCAGGTCACTAGTAGGGAAAGGACTATAGGACCAGGGGCTGAAGGTAAAAGGAGTGCATGAAGTGTGGTCGTTCCTTAAAGACACGATCCTTAAAACACAAAGGAAGTCCATTCCCACATGGAGGAAAGGTAACAAAAGGACTGGGAAACCCTCTTGGCTAAACAGGGAAATCACGGTCCTCTTAAGAAAGAAGAAAGAGGCGTATAAACAATGGAAGCTTGGGGCATGCCCCAAGAAGGACTATACAACAATGGCCTGCACTTGTAAGGAACAGATTCAAAGGGCTAATGTGGCAATTGAACTAAAATTATCAATGGGAGGCAAGGACAACAAGAAGGTCCTTCTTTAGGTATATAGGGAACAGGGGGAAAACAAATGGGAGCGTGGGATCACTGCTCAGCAACTCAGGACAGCTGGTTACCGGTACTCGGGAGAAAGCTGAACTCCTGAATAACTACTTTGCTTTGGTCTTTCACCGGGCCAAGGGCAAAATCATGCCAGAGTGGGTACAGAATGAGCAGGGTAGGAATGACTGCCATCCTACTATTACCATACAACTGGTGTGTGATCATTTGAAGAAATTAAACGTATATAAGTCAACAGGACTAGATGAATGTCATCCAAGGGTGCTGAAGGAGCTGGCCAAAGTCATCATGGGACTGCTGGTGAAACTTTTCTAAAACTCGTGGTACTCCAGAGGGGACCCTGAAGACTGGAAGAAGGCCAGCGTTGTGCCCATCTTCAAGAAAGGACGAAGGGAGGACCCATGCTAACTATAGGCCAATCAGCCTAACTTCTATTCTAGGGAAGATCCTGGAAAAATTCGTCAAGGAGTCTATATACAGTAGGCTTGCAGAAGGTAGGATTCTGAATGACAACCAGCATGGCTACGTTGTGGGCAGGTCTTGTCTTACCAACCTCATCTCCTTTTACGATCAGCTAACTTGCCACCTGGAAAAGGGAGAGGAGGCTGACATTGTATGCCTTGACTTCCAAAAGGCCTTTGATCTGGTTACTACTATCCCATGATGTTCTCGTGAGAAAATTGGAGGACCGTGGGTTTAACTGAGACAGTTGGGTGCGTAGGGAGCTTGTTGCAGGATAGGACCCGGAGAGTTCTAATGAACGGGTCTCTGTCATCTTGGTGAGAAGTGGCCAGTGGTCTCTCTCAGCGGTCAGTACTTGGTCCAGTGCTTTTCAACATCTTTATCATCTTTTGACATTGTGGAGGGGGGGCAGTGAAGAGCTCATTGGTCAAGTTCGTGGATGACACCAAATTAGGGGGAAGTGTGGTCATGCTTGAAGATAGGTCTACCTGTATCTGCAGCCTAGACAGGCTAGCAGGTTGGGGACATCGGAATCAAATGAAACTCAACATCAAGAAATGTAAAGTGCTCCATCTTTACAAACCTCCAGGTTTAGCAATGCCAAACTGACCAGCACCATGAATGAAAGGGACCTGGGGGTGAAAATAGACCACAGTATGAATATGAGCTGGCACATGCTATAGCCAGCTGGGCAAATAATACCCTGGCATGCATCAATCAATGCATCTCAAGCAAACTAGGGAAATGATTCTTCCACTGTACTCAGCATTGGTGAGACCACAGCTGGAGTACTGCGTCCAGTACTAGGCGCCTCACTTCAACAAGGACGTGGTAAAGCTTGAGAGAGTCCAGTGAAGGGCCCGTATGATCAGAGACTTGCATAGGAAGCCATATGAGGAAAGGCTGAGGGGACTGGGACTCTTCAGTGTGAAAAAGAGAAGGCTGAAAGGGGACTTCATAGTGGCTTACCACTGCATCAGGGCACACCTCAAGGGCTCGGTGAACAACTGTTCACCAGGGCACCCTTGTGGAAAACTAGGAGTAATGGCCACAAACACCTGGAAGACCATTTCAGACTCAACTTCAGGAAAAACTTCTTTACAGCCATGGGGTCTAGACTGTGGAATAGGCTTCCTTCAGAGGTGGTGCAATCGTCTACCATGGAATTTTCAAGAAGGGACTGGATGGTCACTTTCCTGGGGTCACCTGATACCCTGTTCTCTTTCCTGCCTGGTGCAGGGGGTCTGGACCCAGTGATCCCCCGAGGTCCCTTCCAGCCTCACAATCTATGAATATGGTAGGATAAATTTGATGCCTATTGCAAGGTCCACAGTTCATAAACGCTTGAAACAGGCCAGATACAGGCGTTATATTTCTGCCAGGAGAATTGCTGTTCTACTGGTAGAGAACCAGTGAACAAGTGTTCATGTACTTTCTTCCAGAGGAAGTATGCCCTATCTGGGAGAAAGATCTTTGAGGTTGATACCTAGAAGATCTCCCCTTTGCTAGAGTTTTTCTTGCTCAGTATGCTCAGTAGGAGGAATCAAGCAGCAGCTTCCCCCTTGCCTTCCCCAGCCCAGGTAGGGCTCCAGTCTGGGAAGCTCACAGGGAGCATTGCGTTGCTGCTCCCTCTCCTGCTGAAGACCGTGAGGGGAGGAACAATGGCTGTTCCTTGGGCTTCCCCAGACTAATTCTTCCTTTTCCCTCTCAGTGCAGACAACCTTTCCCCACAGCTCCACTGCCCACAGGGGACTGGAAGGAATGGAGCAGCTGCTGCTCCCCAGAAAGGATTGCCCCAGAAGTTCCCAGAAATTTCCAGCTAGAGAAATGAATGGCTGTTCATACCCACAAAAATGCTGACTGTGTGTAAAAATGCTGACTGTGCACATTAATTTCTCCCATATTTCCCAACCCTTACTTAGCAGAATTTTCTTTAGTTGAATTCAACAGATTAGCATAAAGGTTCCTGGTTTTTCAGACTTCCTACTAAAGGAAAATTAGTTGTATGTTTAGTCGAATAGAATATATAGAAGTTTTGCTGCACTTAAGAAACTAAAATTAAGACAGAGCCTTACTGCCAGCTTTGTTAGAAGAACCATCCTAGCATGTGTTTCTCATCCTTGGTTCTGATAACAGTTCATAGAGATTCCTTTCTCTCCTTCACTGGCTTGTGGAAGAGAAACTAGCGTCTGCCAGGGATTTGTGACTAATTAACTCATGCTTTAGAACTCTCTGTTCTTTTTTTGTAAATGCTTTTTAAGTTAGCAACACCTTGCCAATCCTCTTTGTGCTAAGACCTGCTGCCTTACTATTGGAAAGGTGAATGCACCTCCCTAGCCTATGTATATAGGGTTTCACAATTAATACACTATTCAAGAAAAGAAGCCTTTGGCCTCCACTATCTCCAGGCCACCCTGGTTTTAGCACCTAAAGTGATGATCCTGTTTGTTTCATCTTTGTCTTTGATCCAAGAAAGTATCAGTAATCTACTGAGTGGATGGTGACCCAGAAATAGGAGAACAACAAAATGTCAATACTTATCTCAGAATCACTTTAACTGGCCTAAAACCTCTGAAATATATATTTTTTTGCAAACATTTTTGTTTTAAACTGGCACAAGGCAGCTTAATAATATGACTTCCATGGCTGCCGGTCTAAGCATAATGTTTTCCAAGCGGGCGTAAGGTATGTCCTTATTCATAAAGAGCTGAACTAGTAAACCTCTGAAACGTCCTTCTTTTATGTTACAGGTAGAAGAAAACCTGGGGATGGTAATGATCTTCACTCTAGTGTCTGCTGTACAAGAAAAATTAAATGAAATAGTAGATCACATAAAAACAAGAATAGAAGAAGAAAAGAAACAGAAAGAAAGAGAAGCAGAAGAAGCAGAAAAAGTGAGTGTGGTATATTCCATTTATGGTTTCCTGTAACTCGGGGGCATCAAACACACAGACCACCAAACTGTTATCTGGATCCTGAAGAAGCCTAGAATTTGGGGTTGGGACCCCAGATTCCAGTGTAGAGAGCCCTGTCAGGGGTGTGTTTTGGGGAATAGTGGGGTGAGCAATGTTGGCTCATGGAGCTGCAGGGCTTAATTCTGCCAAAGTGGCTCAGGAACTGTGATGATAAACACTAGGGCTGTGCAAAGCTTTGGCCCCGATTTGATTTGGCCCAATTCGGTGCCTGAATCTCCTAATCGAATTGGAGGACCCTTTAATCTCTCCAAATCGATTTGGAAAGATTTGGCGATTTGGACATAGACACGACCCTAAATGTTTTTTCTACATACCTTTAAGTGGCAGGTGGCTCACGAATGTTGCGATGCTGGGGCACATGGAGTGTCCCACAGGAGTGCGGGAAGCTCCCCAGCGTACTTGGCAGCAGACCCGGAAGTAGACCAGAAGCACTTCGGTCCACTTCTGGGCCTGTTGGGGAGTGTGTGGTGGGTCTCCCCCCACGTCCCCCTGGCTTGGCAACTGGTGCCTCCTGGGTCGGGGTGGGGGCGGGGCACCTGGGGTCTTCCCGCAGCCTATCGTCAAGCTGGGGGAGTGCAGGGGGGCCCCAGCATGCTCCCCGGTGGACCTGAAAGTGAACCGGAAGTACTTCTGGTCCACTTCCTGGTTCACCTCTGAGCACGTGGGGGGCGCCCCGCCCCGCCCCGCCTCGCCCCCCCTCACCACACACACACACACACACACACACACACTCTCTCTCTCTCTCTCTCTCTCTCTCTCTCTCTCTCTCTCTCTCATGTGGGATGCTCATCTGCCCCAGCATCACAGTGTTCGCAAGCCACACTGGTACCTCAGGGTATGTAGAAAAAACTTGTAAAACTGTCTATGACTGAATCACTGATTCTCCGAATTGGCATTGAATCTTCAGATTCGGATTTGGCTGAATCAAATCGGGGACAGTGATCCAAATCAATTAATTGAATCAGTGTCCCTGATTCGGGCTGAATCCAAATTGAATAGGGCCCGCTTTGCACACCCCTAATAAACACTAACACCACTCTCCCAGCTGCTGGGAGTGGGTCCAGATCCAGCTTGCAAGGAGTCCTGCAGTCCAGACCAGCCTGGGAGAAGAGGAGGAGCCAAGTAACTTTTGTCACCCGTGATATGGGCACTTAGGGTTGATTTACTAATGATATTATCCCAGATGTTCCATTCAAAGGCAATATTTAAAATTCCTGAATTAGCTACGAATTGAATTAAACTTTGACTCACTAGAGCATTTACTAACTTAATACTGCACTTTAAAAATTGGACTGTTCTGAGTTTTACTGGAAGTATGATGGTTTCTGGCAATGCTTAAAAGTACTGGGGCAGATTCTCTGCTTTCTCTACTTAGTTTACTGCCTGAGTAGCACTGATGGAGTTAAAGTTCAATCTAGTTACTGATTGCCAATGTAGGATAACCAATTTTTATGCCACTGTCTTTGTTGCCCCTATCTTAAGCAGCTGGAGGAGGGTATACTAGAGCGTGCTGCATTGCACTGATAGATGTCTGACAGTGCCTGGGAGGAGTGTGCCAGCTATTGTAAATTGAAGCATTGTTGCTAGTCTCCCCTCCTAATGTGAAGTCTACCAAGGAGAGGGCAGTTGGCTGTGCACCTATTTTTGGGTAGATCAACTTAAAGAGGAAGCTTTCCACACCCTGACATCCAGAATGAGGAAGGCACTATTTATTTAGTCTATTTCTCTTTGCCTCTAGTGTTGCTGTTTCCATTCTCAGGCTATGTTATGGTAGATACCATCACTAGGTCCTTGCTTCTTTCTGCTGGGAGCTGTAAGGCTTAGGACTCTATCCCATCACTTGTAGTCTTTTTCCACTCATATTCTTGAGTTTCCCTTGTCCTTAACACAGCAAAGTGTGTTGTATTTCTGAAATCCCACACATTGTGTGAGCTTTGGTTTTGGGGCTTCTCCATGCATGATG